TATATATAATATATATATATATATATATATATATATATATATATATATATATATATATATATATATATAGGGAAAGGTTATTTGGAAAACAAAAAAACCCTAAAAATCATAAAAATGCATAAAAAAATACCTAGAGATCACAAAACTTTTTTTTGATATGTTTTAAGAAAAAATCGCAGATTTTTAAAGAAAATTGCTGAAAAAAATTTGAAAAAAAGAACTTTTTTTTTTACAATTTTTTTTTTTTTTTTTTTTTTTTTTTTTTTTGTTCAGCGAATTTTTATAAAAAGCTGCGATTTTTTATAAAAAAAATTCAAAAAAAAATATTGTGATCTTTAAGTATTTTTTTTATGCATTTTTATGATTTTTAGGGTTTTTTGTTTTCCATAGAACCTAAACCTATATATATATACTCTCTCCGTTCCAAAATTATAGTCCATCTTTCCTTTTTGGTTTGTCTCAAAATAATAGTCTACTACTAAAAATAAATAACATTTTACCAAAATACCCCCTCATTATTACTTAACCAACTAAACATTTAATGGAACATTAAATGCAAAGTAAGGACAAAACTGTCATTTTATTATATAAAGTTAGTGATAATTAATGTTTTTTTTTTAATCTGTGTTTTTTTATCTATGGACAATAATATTGGGACGGAGGGAGTATATATATATATACGTATAGCATCAAAACTCTATGGGGGGTTTATCGCCAAACTTAACATCTTATACATTGGTGTAAGTCAGAAGGACCGAATTTAAAGGAAAAAAAATTACACCAAACTAGATAATCTAAAACTAAGGCCGAACCTAGAAAATTTACCAAACAACATGATTACTAGTTAAGAAGTGGCAAAACTAGAGGAATATTGAAGGTGATAAAAGTACCATGAATATTTCAAGTGCAAGGAATGATTGAGAAATAAGATAGCTGAAGGGGTCGAAAATGACAAAGTCTGTAAATTTACCTAAATTTTGTGAAACTTGAAAATATTTGTAAAAATGAATATATTCTGTTGTCGGGAGTTGAAACCGGATCTTCCGGGTGAGAGCCGGATATCCTGACCAACTAGGCTACAATGGATTTTCTATCTACATTTTTAATATAATAAAATAAAATTTTAAACATGTGATAAAATTAAGTAATATGTTTAGAGAATTGATTAAGTTTTTCATTAGCCTCAATAAGAATAAATACAAGAACTTCCCGCTAAATAAGGGAAATATAATCACAAATTTCAAATAACAAAAATAGATCAACTAGAGAAGGAAACATGATATGCACAACGACTATCCTATCGTTTCCTTTACTGCCTCTTAAGCTAGAGAGTGTAGATCTCGAGTTCCTAGCTTGCTCAACAGAAAACGTAAACACTCGTCATTGAGTGATTTTGTAAAGATGTCAGTTATCTGAATTTTTGTGTCAATGCATTCGGTTTTTATTTCTCGCGACTCAACTCTTTCACGAATAAAATAACAATTAATTTCAACGTGTTTTTTTCTTTCATGAAACATATGATTGTTAGCTATGTTTCGAGTAACTTGATTGTTACAATATAATGGATTGGGTCCTACAAGAGTTGCTTCCAAATCGTTCAACAACCAACACAACCATAAAACTTCACTAACGGTAGTGGCCATGGCACGATACTCTGTTTCAGCTGACGAACGGGAATCACTGGCTGTTTCTTAATGCACCGGGAAATGGGGGCACCTCTTAAGGTGATGATGTATGTATCCTATTCTGGACCTACGAGTGACTTCACAACTATTCCAATCAGAGTCACTGTAGGCCACTAGATCGAGGCTACCAGCACTCGGAAAGAAAATTCCTTGCCCAGGTGCGGATTTGAGATAACGAATGGTCTGCTCGAGATTCTCTGAAACAATGTTGAGAAATGCTTTTGTGAATTTTTTATACCAATTTCTTGATGCCTGTCGTAGACCATAAAGAGATTTTCTTAGCCTGCAAACTCTATTGTCTCCTTCCTTTGCAAAGCCTTGAGGAATTTGCATGTACACCTCTTCATCAAGATCTCTATGTTTTTTTGAACCGACAATATTATTAATAAAGAAATTTTTCCTACTAGCAAGCAGCTAGATAGGATGTTTGCATATAGTAATTCAAATACAAAGAAGAGGGGATAAGACCCATGAATTCCAATCTATACTACCTCTATCTCCTCTATGTTTCACCCAAACATACGTTAATGATTTGGTAGCAGCCACAATCCTCTTCGAATCAAGATCTCTATGTAAAATGCATTATTGACATCTAACTGGTGAACTAACCAAATTTTCTTGACTACAACAGCTAGTAAGGTGCGAACTTTGACCAGTTTGGCCACTGGTGCAAAGGTTTCATGGAAATCAATTCATTCGATTTATGTGAAACCTTTTGCAACCAAACGAGCCTTATATGTCTCCACTTCCCCTGTAGGCTTCTACTTTATTCTGTAAACCCATTTTGAAGCAATCTCTTTCTTCCCGAGAGGTAAAGATTCAAGAGTCCAAGTCTTATTTTGTTCAAGAGACTTGATCTCCTTTTGCAAAGCTTCTCACCATTTAGGATCCTTAGCAGCTTGATAAAAACATTTAGGCTCAGCATGGGAATCGATGGCCAACAAAAAATCTTTATGAGATGAAGAAAACTTATTGTAAGAAACATAATGGGATAAAGGATGTACCGTGGAGGGGTTGTTTGGTGTAGTAGGTGATGCATGGTCTATAGATGGTGGTAGATTAGTTTCATAATCTTGGAGGCGTCTTGGATTGGTCTTGATGCGTTGTTATCTTTCATTTTGAAGTGGCTGGTTTTGAGGTGATTCATTTTGAGTGACATCTTGATCATCATTTGTGTGTGTCTCTTCATGATGTTCATTTTCAAAAAAAAAAAAAAAAAAAAAAAAAACCTTCATGTTTATCAGCTATAAGAATGTCTTGAATCAGCTCATCCCAATGGTGCTCATATCCGGATGGAAGTTGTCACTTGTAGATTCCAAAAAGTTTCCATTCATATTGTGCTAAAAGGAAAAACGGACTCTAAAAACCTAACATCTTTGGTGGTGGTTATTTATAATGTATATGGCAGTTAATATGCATTCACCCCAAAATTTGATAGGCAAATTGGCACCGAAACTAAGGGCCCTAGCAATCTCAAGTGTATGCCCGTGTTTTCTTTCCACTCCCCTATTTTGTTGTGGGGTATTGATGCATGAGGTTTCTTAAAAAATTCCCTTTTCTTCATAAAAATCGTGCATGGAATTCGAAATAAATTCTCCTCCATTGTTACTTTTGATTTTCTTTATTCTCTTTCCAAACTAGACATTAACCATGTTATAAAAGGTGACTAAGGACTTACTAGCATCAGACTTGTGCTTAATCAAGTAAACCCATACAGTATGGCTAAAATCATCTAAAATTGTAAGGAAGTATCGAGCTCATGTAAAAGAGGGAACATGATAGGGGCCCATATGTCACAATGAACTAAATCAAAACAAGCCATGCTTTTAATTTCACTACTAGAAAACGGAAGGCGTGTTTGTTTTGCCTTAACACAGGTTTCACAATGTTCATTAATAGAATCAAAAGCCAAATTATTAAAAAAAAAAAAAAAACTAATTGATTAAGTTTTCCCTTCGATGCATGCCCAAGCCTTTTGTGCCACATGTACATCCGTGCCAACAGATGCCATTAAAGTTATTCATCCACCTTTAAAATGCTCCATCACATATCGACCATTGTTGCACCTACCTGCATCGGTAAGGACATTGTTGCTCCTTGAGCTGGGATCAATTCCTTGCGTCTTCTCCACAACATCTGAACCATCGGATCCATCTTTTCCTGTCATTTGTGAATCGGCAATGAGGGGATCTTTTAATCCCGCTTTGATACCATAATATGTTTTGAGAATTGATTAAGTTTTTCATTAGCCTCAATAGGAATAAATACAATAGAGAAATTAAATTGCCTCCTACCTTTTACTCCTACAATTATTCCTACCCACTAAAATTATGACAAATCACCATTCAATTTAATTGTATTTGATATATTCCTAATATAGTCTTAATGATTTAGTTTAAAAAATATGGAAAGATGACACTTGTCATAATTTTATTGGGTAGGCATATTTGTAGGCATAAAAAGTAGGAATCAATTTAATTAGAACTAATGTGATTTCAAAATTATCAAAATTTTCTTGTGGTATTAGTAAATACTACTATTTGGTGTAACTAGCTTATGACAATGAACTATTTAATTTATTTAAAGGTTACAAAAAAAGTGTAACTATGTTATGTATAATATTATAAAAATCTTCAAATTACTAGGATTTTAGCCAGCATCTTATGTCTAGAATCTCTGAAATGACAATACGCAGCCAATTAATATACATCTAAAACCGAATGTTTTAGCTCCGATGAGTTTCAAAGATAATAATCTTTTATTGGTTTGTAAATTGACCACCTTGAATTCAATTTGATTATTCATTTTTGTTATTAAGCATCTCAATCATGTAAATCAATGAATTTTACTATTTTATGTGTATCATAAAGTCTTAAAAATATGATTTTTTTTAATAACAATCGGTAGAAATTAATTTAGATAACTAAGATTCATTGTTTTAGTAACTTCGTATACACATGATGTTTGGTGTGTACTCAACTTGTCGTCGAATAAATCGAGCTGATTAAACAAAACTCCCTACTCATAAAGGTCTTGCTATATAGTAATTGTTTGAGTGAAGGCTTCTGCTATAGGAAAATTTGACTAGTGTTGACCGACACTCGTTATATTACCACTCAAAATACTACAAATGCATGCATGATATAATATCAACATCAACAGGTGTAAAATGTCTGGCTACAAATTATAAGAAATAAGTTATTACAATAAATATAGCCTTGATAATTATATGTTTAAAAATTTAGCACCAGTTAAGATTGAAGTACATGTAGACATCAGGAGTGGACCCATCTAGAAAGCTTCTATGGGAATTTGTTAGGGTTCAAGAGCCTGTTTTATTTGAACATGTTTTAGGTAATGAGGCCAATACACGATTCCAGTAATGGTGGTCTTCTTTTCCAAGACCTCCCTCAACATGAGTCTGCAAAAGTGATTGTTGTGTTTGAAGCGAACGTCTGGCTTTGCGTATACGCTCTTGGGATGACAAATCTCAAAGAATGCATCAAAAAACATGGATCGTTCCCACATGCATTCATCCTCAGTCGTTTGAAACCTTAGTTCTTGCACGTTCGTTGCAGGAGGAAGCAGGAGCCTTGTTCTTAGATCATCGATATCGACGTCCATGTCAACAGGTGGTTGACTTAAGTGTATATGAAGGTCACACTTGCGTGATAATCTAAGTGCCTCCCTCATATTAAGAAAAAAAAGAAGCATCAACAGGATGTTTAAGTCTGAGTGAAACCATGTGTTGTTTGAGAGACGAGACTGGAAACAAAAGACTAGGCAATGTGTCACCACTGAAGTCGAAAATTAATAATTTTGGAGCATGTACTTGTATGTCGACAAGGGTGGGTTGGCACGAATACAAGACCAATTTCTTGATGGAAGAAGATGAGAAATGAAAGGTCGTCAACTTCCAATATGTCAACCCAAGTGTGAAACTCACAAGAAAAGGAAATCCCGATTTGATCATGTCCAGACACGTGTTGTCAATTATCACATTACCTAACATTAATCGTCTCACCTTGCGCACTGATATTGAATGGGTCAATTACAAGAGGAATATGTGATTGAAGAAAAACACCCTGTCGATAGTAGCTAAACACACCAAGTTTTGGGACATCACTGATTTCCAAAGCGGTAGAATTTTTATATAGACTAGCGAAAGATATGTTTAATTCGTAAAGACGAGGAAGGTTTTTAACCTTGATGGTCTTGAACCCCTCACGGGAATGTAAAAGCTCTATCTTCACAAGCAAGCAACAAGACGACAATATGTGATGAAGTGCCTCTTCACTTATGCTCACACCTTCCAAGTGCAATTCACGTAGGGATGACACGCATTTGATCACAGGATTTGTGGCTGTCATCCAAACAGAATTTGAATTGATCCTCGGTGCTGAAACTCTTAACTTGGTTAGATTCTCACTTGCCAATATCTCATCTGGCAACCTAAACGAGGCACCCCAAAATAAGAGCGAGAGGGAAATCTCTTTGAGACAAGTTTTGGTGGCCACATCCTTGATCCATTTTTCAGCTTGAGAAGCTGACTCCTGGTTCTCAATGTCGATCTTAAGGTCAAACCTTTTGATTGGTGTGTTATCACGGTGATACCTTATCAGAGCTCGCTCCACGTCCACCAACTTCATGGTCTTTCCTCTTCCAACATCGAACCACAGGTTGGGGAAAGTAGACCAAGCACGTAGCCAAGACTTGGTCTCATCCCTTCAAACCAATAATAAACACATCAAATGTCAAATTTACACACTTTAACACCAAACCAACAATGCTATACAACCATACCTAATAAATTGGATATTCAACTTCTAATCAAACCAAAAACAACAGATTTGCATATTCCTCCATACTTTACCTACTACTGACAAACAGATTCCGCTGACAAACAGGTTTAGAAACAAAAGCCTACAAAACACAACTTGAAATCATGCATGTTTGGCTGCACATCACTCAAATATGGTAACAATCCAACAAAAACTCTTAGCCAGCCAACACCATCCAAAATATAGATAAATCCAAACCAGTAAAGCATATTAGTTCAGGCCATAGGAATGATGTTGACTGAACCACGAATTAAAGCCTAGAGTCATTAGTCAATTCCGCCTACCAGATAGCTATAACTCTTTTCAAAACCACGAAAAGTTTGAGAATTTATCTTGGTAGGCCACACAAGGATCGATAGATAACCAAATTTCCAAACTCATAAAAATAAAAATAAAAAACCAATCTTGAAATTTCGAGTTTTGTTGCTGTAGTTTATTTTACGATTCATCTTGAGGATTTACACGCACCAAAGTGCAGACAGTAAGATGCAAAACAAATCGGGGGATTTACCTGATAACAAAAAATTAGAGACAATCGGTAGCACCAGCGGTTTCGTCGATGGTGATTGGTGACCATCATTCGCTATCTAGGGTTCATATTCTATTTATAGTTGGATTTTTTTAGATTTTCATTCATATAAAAAGTGTCAGATTTTTGGGAAAATTAACATTTTATCCCATGAAAAAAATTGGAAAAAAAAACCCACTAAATTAAACAAATTGTCAAATTGACCATTTCTTCCCGAGTTTAACGCGAATGCGTGTCTGTTTTCTTTATGACAGGGTTTTTCTTGACACACATTGCGCGTTGTAAACGTGCGTCGTAAATGCCCGTCGTGAGGTTACGACGTGCAAAAGCGTGTCGTCTCTCGTAATGACAGAGTCTTCCTAGATGTGCATTTGTGCATCGTCTGAGCGTTTTACGACACGCATTATGCGTCGTAAAAGGCTGTTTTTTTAGTAGTTTATATTTTGATCACTTATTTTTCTTATGAAAATATTAATATTTATTTATTTTACCTTTCCTTTACGATAAAGAATGAATAGGAAAAAAGGAAATTGACAAAGTTAATAAGATAATTTATTTTTGTTACTATAAAAACATTTAAAATTTGGTACATCCATATAAGTTTTGGTAGAACATAAAAAATTCATTTTTATAACACACATAATTATTGGTTTTCAACAATAAAATCATATCATATATGTAAAATCATGCGTTCTAATTCATCATTATCACCAACAATTTGGAATAATAATTGTAAACTCCTTTCATCAACATCAATTATAAAAAACTTCATCGATGTTATTTACAAAATAAACGATAGAAACTAACATAATATATACATATCATAAAATACATGTTGAATAACGTTCTCTTGTACATAAAATATATTTTATTAACATAAAAAAGAGAGAGACAACATAAAGATGCATACATGTTAAAAAAGTTAATTGCTCTAACTTATAAATGGTTTGATGGTTGATTTACCAAAAGCTCATGAGAAGTAATTATCAATCTCACATCATCATCATGTGATTATAGAAAGATGTATAACACATAAACTTAAAAAATGGTCTCAAGTATACCTTTACAAACATACCTAAATTTGAACATTGGTTAATATGTAAAACTTTACATGCATCTAATTTGAGTTTACATGAATTTATATTTACAGAAGTTGCAATTGCTTTCTTACATCCATTGAACCACTCAAATAACTCTTCAAATCCTACAAATATAATCTATTATTTTGTGTTGACATACATACAATATGTAATCTACAAATTTCTTATATAGGCTAAATATTTCATTTAACTCATCAATTAAATAGCATGATTTGAGTTTTAAGAGTTACAAATCATAATATTTCAATTAATCATAAATTAATTTGTATAAGTTGAATAATCTTGGGAGTTTCAAATGCATGAGGTTCAAGAAAAAATGGTATTGGGTGTTTCCAATGCATGAGGTTTAAGGAAAAATGTTAGCTTTATAAGATATATAGATATAGATATAGATCAATGTTGTAAATGAGTTTGGCGAAGTTATAACTTGACAGCAATGTCAAGCTTCAGTATGTTGTAACTTGACAGCAATGTCAAGCTTCAAGCTTTTTCAATCCTTGGGGAGTCACATTGTTTGTAAGACGTGACTTAATGTGGCAATTTTGTATGTAATCGATATTTTTATATGTATTTTCAACTATTATTCATTTTTATACACATATATGAGTTAAAGCGGTATTTTGGTCAAGCTTGGCGGTAGGTACAAGCCTTGGAGCCATAACGAGCTTTTTAGAACCTTGATTTAAACTACTAGATGTAATAGTCGTGTATTATATGGGTTTATTAAAAAATGTAATATCAAGATGTAAACATTAAGTACTTTTTAAATTAAATTTTGAAATAATACAAACTAAAGGATGGATAAGTAAGTAGTTCAATCTATACTAATAAAAAAATTATTAACATATTAAAAAAACTATGTTGAATATTAATATGTAATCATTAAACCTTTTTTAAAATAATTTTCGAAATAAAAACAAACAAAATTATAAATAAGTATGTAATTGAATCTATGCTAACAAAAAAAATTATTAGCATGTTTAATTGGTTCAGTTGGGTCAAAGAGCAATAAGGTATTTTACGTAAAATCACTTCTTAACTTTTTTTCAAATCATTCGGATTTGGAAAAGTTTGTGTTAAAATAAGATGCTTATAAATAGTTATTTTCAATAATTTTATAAGTAATAAATAAATCACATTAAAGACACATATATACATACAATCACGTACACACACTCATATCCAACAAAAAAAAGATAATACATGCACCCAGATTGCCCCATGATTGACTACATATTATAATCACATTGGCACTACATCGAACATGTGGTGGGAATAATGTAAATCATGGTATTATATGACATCCTTATTTTCACAGCAAAAAAAAAAAGACCGATTTTATTTATGCTTTATAAAAATCAGAGTACCTCTTTTAATAAAAATGTTGCGAAATTTGTTTCCAGTAAAACATGATCAATACGTTATCAAAGCACTTCCGAAGAAAAGTATTTTTATTCATTTTTAAACATTTGGGATGTCATCGTCAATACACAAACATAAGCATAAATAGAACTTACATTCATTATCACTAGTTATTTATATCTCCTTAATCTCTCAGTGTAATGTGACTTCATATCAACATCTGTGATATAAATAAACCGAGTGGGTCAGGTTGGGAAACCTGGTGAGTACATAGGGATTTCAATCCCACAATGTTATACCATATATATAGTTTAAAACTCACAAAATATACAATTTCACCATATATATATAAACAACTCTTATCCCACCCCGTCAATCCTCACAACGAGACTATCCATACTCTCAGACCTAAGATTAGCCGTTTTACCTAATCCATACTCCTGGATCAGAAATGAACGGCTTTACCTAATCCATACTCTTGGACTAGGGACGAATGACTAATCCATACTCTCGGATTAATGATGAATGATTATGCCTAATACATACTCTCGGACTAAGGATAATGACTATGTCTAATCCATGCTCCCGGATCAATGACATATACCAAGGTTTTATTCTCTGAGTATAATTCACTCGTTCTCGTAAGAAAACACTACCCAATATTCCTCATAATTAATTTAGGTTTACTCTTTATCCTAAATCAGCATATATAATCAGGTATGTTCTTTAACAAGTATATCAGGCAACATCAAATAATTCGCACATAAACATATATTTAATACTTCAATTGATACTTGTATTAAAATCATGTTCATGAAAGGGACTATGTACTCACACATAAACTCTTCAGCAAATATTTAACTCTTTAACATGTATTTAATACTTGTATTAAAACCATATTCATGAAAGGGACTATGCACTCACACATAAACTCTTCAACAAATATTTAACTCTTTAACATATATTTAATACTTGTATTAAAATCATGTTCATGAAAGGGACTTTGCACTCACACATAAACTCTTCAACAAATATTTAACTCTTTAACATATATTTAATACTTGTATTAAAATCATGTTCATGAAAGGGACTATGCACTCACACATAAACTCTTCAACAAATATTTAACTCTTTAACATTTATTTAATACTTGTATTAAAATCATGTTCATGAAAGGGACTATGCGCTCACTTGATTAGGTGGTGACTCGGTACTTGGACAACACTTCCTTATCTCAAAACAATTTCCCTCGACAAAACCTAGTATCAATACCACTAGGGTTTAGTCTAACGTTAACTGCGACTAATTAATAGTATAACTATTATTTATTATTATTATTATTATTATTATTATTATTATTATTATTATTATTATTATTATTATTATTATTGTATAAGTGTTAAACAACACTCTATATAACTCATAATAATAGCCCAAATAATTATTTTAAGGTCCTAATAACATTACCATATTAAAACATAAGTAATACTAAAGATAGGTTATGCGTAGCTCACTTACAACAGATTTTTCTCAAAACTGGGCTCCGTCGGAGCAGGGTTCACGAGCCGAAAGGCTCTTCGTCTCGGAGTCGTCGGGCACTCCGGGGCTTCCGCTTCGTGCTAGGGAGGTTCCCTAGGCTTTTCGGGGGGTTTCGGGGCTAGAGAGAAGTTCTAGAGAGAGAGGGAAGTGAAGGGAGGTGTGAGGAATGAAGAGGGCTTAAACTCTTATTTATAGGAGGATGGAGGGTCACTCACGTCGTGAGTTTTAAGGTGCTCACGTCGTGAGCCAGGCTTGCTACAGCCAGGCGCAGCCTGGTGCTGACACGTGGCATCGCACACAGGGTGGAAATCAGCCGATTTTCAAAAATTCATAACTTTCGCATACGAACTCCGTTTTCGATGTTCTTTATATCCGCGCGTAGGTAAAAACAAGATCTACAACTTTCATTTAGACTCTGTCGGCTAGTTCTCAACTGATCTTAAATTTAACAGTAGGAGAAGTTTAGACTGCTAAATGACCGCGAAGAATTCGTAACTCCTTCATAAGGAATCCATTTTCATCTATCTTTTTATTGTTGAGTTCCTATTAATGAGATATTCAACTCTCATTTAGGTCTCGTAAGCCAAAAATCGCTCGAATTAAAATTCGAGTTTCGGGTCGTGCACTGCTAAGCCGAATCTTAGAAAAATCATAACTTCCTCATACGAAAGATTTGGGTGTTCTTTTTTTGTATGTTCTCGGTTTAACGTACACTACAACTTTTATTTAGATCACTAAGGCTAAAAAGTCCTCTATCGTAAATTCACTGTTTACGTCTCCCGGTGCCGTGCCGGTTTTGCTATAAAACTTCGACGAGCCATAACTTCTTCGTTATAACTCGGATTTCGGCATTCTTTATATGTACGGAACCCTTGAGACATATTCTAAAACTAAGTTAAGATTATTTATTCTAAATAATATGTTGTCGAAAAGTCGTTTTCGACCCCTATTATCTTTAAATTGACTAGCCCGGATCTACGGGCGTTACATATTGCACCTCATGTTCAAGTTAAAATAAAACAAATTAAAATGATTATATCTACATAAAAAAATGGAATTGCAAACCTTGGTTTGTGTAGCT